TAGACCCATGATCGCATTCTGTAACGACCCAGCACTGGCCAGGGTGAGCACGCGGCCCACTGACAGCTATGGTGTTGTAAGCGCTCCGCTGCCGTGACGGTACCTGCAGTGTAGGCGGGAACAAAGCCTGCCGGACGCATGTCCAACAAGCCATGTGTGTGTGTCCCGCCATTTGGCGTGACGCAAAGAGCTGAGGCTGGACGCCTGTGCTCATCGGGTATGGCCTTTCCCCAGGAAGAGGCAAGGGAAACCAGCAAGCCATTGGTCTCCAAATGTGGGGTGTGTGCAAGTAGTTTGACACAGGCTTGAACCTGCTGTGTGCAAATAAGGCTCTAGTACATGAGGCCTGGCCAAGCGCGGCTTCAAAACTGTGGTCTAGCTCCGTTCCCGGCCCGGGGTAGAGTATGGTGGCTCCACCACAGTTTGGCCCCATTCACCCTGGCCACCAAATCAGCAGCCCATGTTGCCATGGCAGTTTAGGCTGTGCGCCAGCCTGTTGGTACAGCGCCACAGGTGTGCGTCACCTCCTGCCACCCATTAAAGCCCACGCCAGGCCCATAACTAGATTTCTTCTTTGGTGTGCTATAGGCGTCAGCTACGCTGTGCTGGCGCTCTTGTGTGCTGTGGTCACACCATAATTAAATCCCAGGTAGGTCGGGAAAGGCAGCTGGGAAAGCACAGGGGGCAACCAGCTTTGGCGTCGGCATGGCCTGGAGTCGTGCCGTGTGGGCTGGCTGGCAGCAGATCTGTACAGTGGACATTAACGGCTCAGAGGCCAGTAGCTGGGGTTTGGCAAAATATGTTCGGCAAATACTTCCTCTGTCCAGGTCTTTAAGTAACACTCTCAGCAGCGAGCCCAGTTAAAATGCGGACTGGGCTTCTCTGCATTGCAAAAAAGCACCATGATGGGCATTAACCCTGCTATAACTGTGGCCTCTGTGTACGGTGGGGTGCAGACCTTCGGGTCCCTATACACCACAGTTGAACCTATGCTTAGCAACTACCCACGCGGTTCAATCCAAGCCGGTGCTTGCAGGTTTCCTGATCAGTGTACATCAACCCAGCCAGTTGGGCTCCTCCCCATCGGACCTTCCACACGGTTGTGCACCAGAAGAGGAGCAAACAGAACTATGAGAAGGGAAAGGGTGAGTGTGTGGCCATATTTCTGCACCCGTTCCCGCTAAGCACTAAGTCATGATTGGCCAGTACTAACCTCCCTCTGCCACCAGCGTTCACAATCGTCTCAGCCAGTGCCCCTGAACAGCCCTGTGGATGAGCTCTTAAACCAGGGGTGGCCCACCTGAGCGGGAGCCAGAATTTACCAATGTACATTGCCAAAGAGCCACAGTAATACATCAGCAGCCCCCTATCAGCTCCCCCCCCCCAACTTCCAGCACCTCCTGCCCACTGGCAGCCCCACCGATCAGCGCCTCCTGCTCCCTCCCCACACCTCCTGATCAGCTGTTTCGTGGTGTGCAGGAGGCTCTGGGTTGGGCGGGGGAGGAGCGAGAGCATGGCAGGCTTGGGGGCGGGAACGGGTGGAGTGTGGGCAGGACCTGTGGCAGAGCCAGGGGTTGAGCAGTGAGCACCCCCTGGCCCATTGGAAAGTTGGCACCTGTAACTCCAGCCCCGGAGTCGGTGCCTATACAAGGAGCCGAATATTAACTTCTGACGAGCTGCATGTGGCTCCGGAGCTACAGGTTGGCCACCCCTGTAATGAAGCTATAGCCTTGGTGTCACAGCCACCGCTCTTGCTGCTGACTGATGGAGCGTCGGCTTTGACTCCAGTGGTTGGAAGAAGGGAGATCTGGCTCCTCTCCCTGCTGTTGCTGTGAAGGGCTGATTGGCCAGGACCAGCAACCAAGATGTGTTGCCGTGGTCATGGATGTGCTACAATATTAAATCGCTCTCTCCATTGATATAAACCTGGTCCCACTGCATGGGGCAAGGGCACACTGGAGGGAGCTAGGCACTTTCTGAAAGGGTTAGGTAGCACATGTAACTGCTCCTAATCAGGAGGGGTGGGATGGACAGGGCAGAATTAAGTAGTTGGGGTGCCCTCCCTCCCCCGATCCTGAATAAAATCTGGTGGTGAGGGCTTTGTCACTGAGGCAAGCAACCACGTGATCCTGAACCCTTCCCAAACACTGGTCCCATCACGTCTTCCCACGCACCAACCAGCAGGCCATGGCCCTCACTGAGCTTGCCTTGGCCGGTGCAAGAGTCTGGGGGAGCTGTGGATGCTGGAGGCTACCGCTCTCGCTGACGTGCTATCAACATGGAACCCCAGCAGCAGGTATCGGCTCAGGGCAGATGATGGGGCCAGTACCATGGGTGGGGCAGTGTCGCCTCCTCTCCTGCCCTGCCCTTCCTCAGCCGTCTGCACAGAGATCTGAAACCAGAGGGGCACATCCACATGCCGGCCCACTTGCGTTGATCTCCCAGAAATGGCTCCAAACAACTGCCTGGCCCTGGCAGACGAGGCCTAACCCTGTTCTAGCTTGAGGCTGGTCAGCCCTGGCTTGGGAAGCTGTGCTAATCGTGCTCTGGGCCCCTACAGCAGCATCCAGTTGACGCTCTCAATGTGCTTTACAAATACTTCTGTGAATGACCCACCCCATCCCCAGTGAACGTACTATCATCAGCTCCGTTTTGCCCAGGGGACCAGTGGCAGAGCTGGGAAGGCCTCTGTGCTGACCATCCTCTGATGGCTAGACTGCTCTCCCTCTCCATCAGCCCCTTCCTGGGAAGAACGGTTTAAAACCAGCCCCGGCGAATTCATTTCCCTACTTACTTAGCCTGACTCCAACTCTCAGCTCCTCTGATTCACCAGCTGTCCCTGCAACAAAGCTGGGCCATTGGGAGTGCGAGGGAGTGTGTTTGGTGCCCTGTCCCTCCACTCAACTTGTCTGCCCTGCTCTAGCGCACAGACTGCTATGAGCAAACATTCTTTTACAGCACACCACTCTCCCGCCCAGGCCCAGCGGAGAGGCGGGTGTTGGCGGGTGAGGAGGGAGATGGAGCCATGTGCTCATATTCCCTACAAAGCCACGTACTTTTTGGCCGCATCACTTCCCGTGTCGCTGCCTCTAGACAATTTACACTAGCTGAACTAGCTCTGCCAAATACTTTATTATTTCTTGAAAATGGATTGATTTCCTTCGCAGCACATAGGACAGCAAATGAGTCTGGAATGGCTGACACACAACTCTAGAGCTATTTGGGGCAGTACATTTGACAGCTCGGCCTTTCCTGTACCGTTTTCGGGGGCTAGCCTACAAAGTGACCTTATGTAGCAACCACTCCAGACCCAGCTGTGAAGTCTGGCTCCAGAGCCAAACTCCCTCAGTGTGTGGGGAAGGTGGCTTGGTTTGGGAGGCTCTCTGAAGACAAGCTAGACCTCATCAATCCACTCTTCAGAGCACAACTCTCTTAAAACAAGGCAAGCACAGTCTGTGGCTGTTTTGCCACTAGCCCTCTTTTTAAAAACCATTCCTCCTCGCTCATTGGCTCAGGGATAGTTGGCCTAAAGTGCCTGGCTGCCACTAGCTATAGCTCAGGGGTTTGAGCATTGGCCTGCTAAACCCAGGGTTGTGAGTTCAATCCTTGAGGGGACCATTTAGGGATCTGGGCCAAAAAAAATTGGTCCTGCCTAGTGAAGGCAGGGAACTGGACTTCATGACCTTTCAAGGTCCCTTCCAGCTCTATGAGATGGGTATATCTCCATATATTATATTATTATAAGGCAGCCTGGCTCCTGACCATGCCCCCGCCAGCTCACCCCAACAAGGCATCGAGCGGTTGGCTGGGAGGCAGTGTCGTCACTGCAGTAGGAGTGGTTGACACGGCTCGTTTTCTGTCCATCAGCCAACTCAGCGCCGAGGACGTGTTTTCAATGTAGTGCTAGATTCTGTGTGAGCACACAATGCTGGCAGACACGTGTTGCTAGGTTACACGGAAGGGAGGACTAGGCCCCTCCACTGCAGGCGAAATTCTCTGGCCTGTGCTATGCAGCAGGTCGGCCGCCCAAGAACATGATGTTAATCCCCTCCGGCCTTACACTCTGTGACTCTGCATAGAAAGCAGGGAAGGATGGCAAGGAACCATTAGCGGAAGTGGTGCAGGGAGCATTGTGCTGCAAAGGAAAAGGCTTTGTGCCATGACTAAAGTCACATGGCTTTGAGACTGCAGGCCCTGGCCACTTAGGGTATGTCTACACTGCAACTGCAATCCTGCAGCTGCCCCATGCCAGCTGATTTGGGCTCGCAGGGCTCGGGCTGTGGGGCTGTTTAATTGGAGTGTAGACATCCACGTTTGGCCTGGAGCCCAGTCTCTAGGGACCTACAAAGTGGCAGGGTCCCAGAGGTTGGGATGCAGCCTGAGCTGGAACGTCTACACTGCAAGTAACCAGCCCCGCAGCCAGGGGCGGCTCTATGTTTTTTGCCGCCCCAAGCACGGCAGTCAGGCTGGTAACGCGGATTCGGCGGCGTTTCTGCGGGTGATCTGCCAGTCCCGCGCCTTCGGCGTACCCGCCGCCAAAGCTGCGGGCCGGCGGACCTCCCACAGGTATGCCGCCGAAGGCTACCTGACTGCCACCTCCCGCGGCTTGTCGCCCCAGGCACGCGCTTGCTGCGCTGGTGCCTGGCGCCGCTCCTGCCCACAGCCCAAGCCCGTGAGCCCATGTCAGCTGGCAGGGGCCAGCTTCAGGGTATGTCTAACCGCAGTGTACACCAGGGATCAGCAACCTTTGGCACGCGGCTCGCCAGGGTAAGCACACTGGCAGGCCGGGCCGATTTGTTTACCTGCCGCGTCTACAGGTTCGGCCAATCGCGGCTCCCACTGGCCGCGGTTCGCCGCTTCAGGCCAATGGGGGCTGCGGGAAGGGCGGCCAGCACATCTCTTGGCCCGCGTCGCTTCCCGCAGCCCCCATTGGCCTGGAGCAGCGAACCGCGGGCAGTGGGAGCCGCGATCAGTCGAACATGCGGACACAGCAGGTAAACAAACCGGCCCGGCCCGCCACGGTGCTTACCCTGGCGAGCTGCGTGCCATAGGTTGCAGATCCCTGGTGTAGACCGACGCAAATGCAGCCCGTGACCACCCTTGCACTGTAACTGCAGGGGATGGCCAAAGCTCAGCACCATGCCTGGATGACTTTGTTTAATTGTTAGTTTCACTGCCAGTGACAATTGATCAGGTATTTCTAGTCAACTGGCAGGATGACCCAGGTGCAAGCAGACACACCTGTGCTTGGTTTGATTCCCCTGAGGAAAAATCTATTGATTTCCCCATAAATAGCTTAGACAGCTGCTCTGTATTACAAAAAAAAAAGGAAAAAAAGAATATGACGTCCTCTAAAATATAGTTAAAATATTACAAAATGAGCTACGTGCACATATAAAATTTATGGAGCAAGCAGCTCGTCTCAGTATTTGTTATCATGTACTTTACGATCTAGTCCAAAGATCATAAAACTGGCCAGGGTCTCTCTACTTGATACAGTCATGCCTGTACTTTGCGGCTCTGTGCAATACATGCTCATCACGCAGATAAAAGAAACCAGTGGCACATAGTATGCTCCCCCTGGACGCAGTGATACGTCACTGAAAGAGGAGACGGGGCACATCTGCAGCACCACTCAGCGTTTAAAACTCACGGCTCAGGCTCCTGAAACTCATGAGAAAGGTTTACAAATCATGAGATTTTTAAAAATATAGTAAGACTTGGGTGCTTTTTATTTGCCTTCAGGGATTTGGGGATTCAGGTTTGTTTCTAGAACCAGGAGGGCTGGAAACGTATATTGTTTGAATTAAAGCTGAGGTTTCTAACGCCAGGCGCTGGGGCTTATGGAAAACGCCAACGACCAGGAGACTTGCAAGAGTATGCAACGTGGAGCTGCAATTTACAAGGGGAAAAAACCCTACCCCCATTTCAAGTCACCTTAGTGGCTTATGCAGGACTGAAGCAAGCCTTGATTGTGGCACAACCTCTGGGCCTCTCTCTAGGGCTCTGCACATTCAATAGAGAGGCAGTTCTAGTTACTGGGATGTTCTTTTATGGGGAGGTGTCAATAGTGGGACTTGGGCATGTGGGCCCCACATGAGCTCTGTGCTAGCTGAGCCGAAGAAGCCGCTCCATCCTACTCTCCAGTGATTGTTCTATTCTCCACCCCGCCCTCCTTAACGCCTGCCACTGTCCCGGGGACCAGAGTGGAATGGTCACTGAGCACGTGCCCTGCTCTGGGGATGGACCGAAGAGGGGAATGGGAGAGCTAAGCCCTTGGGTCTTTCAGGGTGACTGGTGGAGCTGCTGTGTCTCCACGGGCAGGAATTCCTAGTACAGCATCACACTGGAGAGGCTGGAAAAGGAAGAACTGAACTTTCGAGAAGGCTCAGTCTGCACTAGCAAACCGCATAACCATCAATCCCTCCCCAGAGGTGATGGCAGTGGTGGAAGCTGCAGTGTGGAGAGGACACTGGGGCTTTTGCCTGCTTGTCACCCACCCCTACTTCAGCATTTGCTAGTGTAGACAAATCCCCGAGGACAGCAGAGCAGCTGCTCCTAGGTTCCATTCCGCTCCGCTCAGGACCCATTCTCTTGGGAAGGGGCACACCCCCTACAGCATTACACTCCCAGGGCCACAGTAACAAACACCGGGCAGCTCAGTTGTGGTGCCTGCTATTGATAACTCCTTCCCCACTCCTACCCCATCGAGGCCAGTGGGGGTTTGGCCAGTGATTACAATACAGTGTCTCATTCTAACGCAGCATCTTTCTGTCGCTGCAGGTCTTTTCCCCTCCTCCTGCCCTCTGTCAGGCTCTCTCTCTCTCTCTCCCGCCCCTCTATCACTGCCCCCTCACCTTGCAATGTCTCCCCACTTTCCCATCATCTCCTCTTTGCATCTCCGTGGCACGCACACTCAGTCTTGGGTTTACACCTGCCACGTGTCAGGAGCGCTCTGGGGAGCTGTGATAGTCATGACGCAGCAGGATGGTGCCGGGCGGTGACGTGTACTGCAAAGCGGCTGCGTGCGGGTCTGACGACCAAGAGGCTGGACGGTAGGATGGTGGTGGGAATATGCAGAGGTGGTATAGCCAAGGGGTCCATTTTATCTCAGAGCCAAAGACCACCACAAACGTCTGACACAAACGCCATCACATTCCCACCAGTCTCAGCACCCTGTCCTTTGTGTGCACACGCTCTCTGGGTCAGGGTGGGTGGGGACACCCCACGCCCTTGTACAAAATCAGGAAACTACACCTCAGGAGTCTCCTCCCCGCTCTCCCCTGTGGGGTGAAATGCTAAGGCAAGGGGTGCAGCGGATGGGCAAGCCCCACTGCTCTATCCCCCAAGGAGCTGGAGCCCTTCTAGTCATGAGAAACGGCTCCATGGCGGTGGCACATATCAGCTGGACTTCCACGATTCACCCGCCCCCTCACATTTGTTTTTAATTTGTCACCTGGGAACAGCCAAGTGTCGATAGGGGATAATACCTCAGCCTAGACCCATAGCTGGCTGGGAAATCCCTGAGCCAAGCTTATCCCTGGTTTAACGCCCTGGACTTCAGTGGCGTTACACCAGGCATGCGCTAGACCCACTATATCCCCTAATGGGTATCCAGCGTCTGTAAAGTTCTGCTCCACTAATCCAGCCCCCGCGAGGACCTGGCAGGGGTGGGGCATGGGGGGAGAGATGAGGCCAGCCTAGAAGCACTGAGCTCGCCCACAAGAGCAAGCAGAGAGGAAGCTAAGTCGGGGGTGGCCATTTCAGGGCGACACCCACTGTCATCCCCAAACTTCTGTGCCATTGCTGAAGCCAGTGATGACTCACTGCAAACACCTCTTGGCCCTGCCTGTAGCCAACTCGCAGGCCTGAGGATCGGCTCCATCCTTTCAGTCCATCAGGCCAGGGGCCTGGAAGGGGGATTAATATTTCAGGGATCAGATTTTGGCGAGGGTGGGAACTGATTAATAAATACAGGACAGATCATTCCCATTCTCCTTGCCTCCCCAGCCCAACCCACCTGCCCCCTTCTCCTGCACCCCGTCCCGGCACAGAGCTTCTGCACCCTCAGCCGCATCGCCCACTCAGTACCCCGCCGTGAAAGAGCTGTTGTAGGTTTCAGTGTGGAAACAGGTACTGTGAGACGTACTGGTGAGGCTATAGGCAAAGTAGGCCACGGCGGAGCCCAGCGTCAATCCGGTCATATAGGACACAGTCATGGTGTTACCTGCAGGAGAAGGGGAATGGGGAAGAGAAGCCAGGGGGTTAACCCTCATCTGCCAGACATGTGCTGACGGCTCAGACCCTAACAGGGTGCCAGGAGGTGTCTCCACTCATGCTCCTGGGCCCCGCCGGATTTGGGACAGAGGTTCCCCGCTCTAGCTCTAATCCGTAACATACCCCCCAGAGCACATTGCTGGCAACCCAGCGCCAGTGGCGATGCTACCAGGCCAAGGGAGAGTGAGGGTGCGTCCGGTCACTGGTTTGTGCCCTGCAGTGGATAGGGGCGCAGCACTCTGGCTCCACAGTGGTGTGAGCTGGCGTGGGGAGCCTTAGAGCAGGAATTGGATCAGCATGGGCAGGAGGCAGCCACCAGGAGGGCAGCTCTACTGGCGCCAAAATGGTGCCACCCTCCCCAAAGGGACAGCAGGATCCTCACACCCGCGTTGACCTCCTGCCCCTCCGCTGGACCCAGTTCAGCCCGAGAGGGAGCCCCAAGCATAGGTGTTCTTAGAAATCGGGCTTCTGGGGAAGGACTCCCATAGTGGGCTGGCACCACTGGGTAAGTCACGCTCGGCACCAGCGCTGCTTGCAAAACGACATGCAGGGCAGCTGGCACGTCGGTGCATAGCCAGGCTTCGTGCGGAGGCAGCACTCTCTGGCCTGCAGCTCTCTGAGCCTGGGGGCTATTGCAGGGATAACAAGGAACAGGAGAGGGACTCGACCACCCATCGAGGCCTGCTTCCCACCAGCACCCGTTTAATATTTGGGAGTGATCCAACCTCTTCCTCTCTCCCCACCCAGGCACAGCTGGTCTCCTCCTGCTGCAGTAAGGGTCTCTCCACACTACAGAGAGCTGTGGAACATGTAACCGGGATGGGACCTGGTTCCATGCACACGGCATCTTTTCCCCCACTGGCCTGCCCACACCTACCACATCCCACAGCAATGTCTGCCGCAATGCATTCTGGGTACATCTGGGCAATCTCCCACCTGCTCAACTGCTGCTTCCAGGTGCACGTGGGAAGTTGAAACGCAGGTGCCAATAATGTTATAAGGGTCATGAGCAATGGCAAACCACAGCACATTATCTGGTTAGGAGCCATGGGGTGTGTGGCCATGTGTTAAGCCAGCTAAGAACTCAGCAGCACCTGTAGTGCAGATGGGCCCGAAGGCGGGAGCAGTGACAAGGGTGTGGCAGTACAGCCTGGTTCCCTTCTAACCATGGGAAACACAAATGGAACTTGTGACGCTGTGGGTCCAGCCAGCACCGTCCCTGCCTCCCTATACGGCTCCTGTGAGCGGCTGGCATGTGTCAACACGTTACTCCTCCTACCTGCCAGTTCCCGCTGCTCCGGGCTCACTTTGCCAGCAGCCAGGATCATGGGTACGCTGCCAAAGTACCCATTGGTGATCCCCATGAGGAGGGAGAAGATGCAAGGCCAAGCGGGGTGGTTGAAGGTGGGTTTCCCACTGGGGTACACGCACATTATAAAGAGGGGAATGAAAATCACTCGCAGACAGGAGTAGATGAGAAGGTGGGTCCCTCTCCAGTCATAAGGCAAGGCAGCCAGGATCTAAAACACAGAGGGAAAGTCACATTGTGTTGTAAAGTAAAGAGATTTTTGGAGTAAAAATCTAGATCAATAAAACGCGAGGCTGTTCAGGAGGCCGGCCTAGACTCAGTGGTAGTTTCAGAGCAAAAAAGCCACTGGAAACAAACAGGTCTCTAATGTGGGATCTGAAGGAATCCAAATTTAGCCCATCCTCAGTAACAATCCAACTCCATTTAGACCAGACCTCAGTCCAAACACACACCAACCACATCCTTAATAACACACCAGATCAGCAGACAACCCGGTTTTATCGGATTGGTTTTCAAATAGGAGAAGAGGGAAGACAAAGTCTGTAAAAATATGCACTGCAGGAAGTCACGAGCCACTCCGAGCCCCTGGCCTGAACCTGGGCAACTGACTCCCAGTTCTCTTCCACAGCAGGGTAGACTGGCCATCAGACGAGACCCGTTCCTTAATAATCTACTGCCCATCTGGCACCTTAACGGCTACCCACCCTCCCCAAGGAAGCCTGCACAGAAAGTCTAGCCAGGACCCCTCCTACCTTGCCTACAAAGTCCGAGAGGTTGAAGACAGCCATGATTAAGATGGGGAGCCACTCCCCAAGAGTGCAGTTGCGGATCTCCGACTCCAGCCCAGGAAAGAGGCACAGTGTGATGAAGTAGGTCATGGCTATGGAAAGCATGTAGGCCCAGATCACCCTGGAGACAACGTAGCGATGGAGCATCATGTCTGGAGGAGGACACCAAAGCAACTCGTCAGCTTATTACTAAACCCACGCTCTTGCCCCTGCAGAGCACGGCAGTGAGAGGTTCACCTCCACCAGCCTTCGCCCGGGTCTAGAGGCGCTCACAAAGGCACTGATTAGTTCTGCACATGAACGGATGCTTTCCCAGCATGTGGCAGAGACGTATCAATCCAGAAGACCACACTGGCTTCTGCCCTCAGAACTCGGACCCCATCTCCCACATTGGAAACCCATTTGCCCTTGCCAGACTCCATTCCTTGAACAGTGGCCCAGGTTCAGGACTGGTGTAAACAGGTGCTGTTCAAATGACTTCAGCAGAACTCAGGGCTGAATCCAGCAGGCTACCTAAGCAGTCTCTCTGATTTCCATCGGACACTAGAGCTGTATGAATGCTGTAATTCCACATGTTGTGTACATGCCACAACTGCAACTCCGGGGAATAGCTAATTTACACTAGCTGTGATCTCCCTTTCCTCCCCTGCCCCCTGTGAGGGCAAAAAAGTGAGAGAGACTGCGGTAGCTGGCAGTGTTGTTTTATGTCCAGTGCTTGGCAGAAATGTTGCCTCAGACTCCCTGTGATGTGCATCATGAGATTACCTCACTTTGGCCTAAAAGTTTCTCTGTCTCTACTGCTGTTCAGCGCAATGTGTTGGATAGATTCCACCTCCCACACCAGAGGCAGCTGCATCTCAGAGATGCTGTGTGTATCTAGAGGGCGACGCATTTAGGGGTGGAAGGTCTATCCTAGGGATAGACGTCTATGGCTGCCATCACAGTAACCTCTGAGTGCCTTGCGGATATTGATGAACTAGGAGCATGTTTTCATCCCCTTTGTGCAGATGGGGAGCCGAGGCATAGAGAGAATAAGTGACTTGCCCAAGGGCACATGAAAATGCTGTGGCAACGGAGGAGCTGACCCCAGATGTCCCGAGCCTTCAGTAAAGGAATATCCTTCCTCCCCCAACGACACGACAGAAACGCTCACGCGGACGCAGTACTATAAAAAGGGGACAGTTCCACTTTAAATGGCAGCCTCCGAAAGCCCCTTTAAGTGAGAGTGTTGTCCCTGCCAGCTAGAGCAAAAGACAAGCGCGCTCGTCACAGCGAGTGCTGGCGAGGGTCTGGACAGCCTGGCTAGCGGGTCCCTGCAGCTGGACTCTGGCGTCCTACCTCGGAAGCTGGGCCAGCTCCTTTTGATTCTTGGTCGAGGGACGTCAAACCTCACGTAGGTGCCGCTGCCAGCCAGCTCAGTTTCATGCCCCAGGCTGCCCGGAGGGGAGCCCACCTGCCCACAAGGCCGATTTTCCTGGGGAAAGCACAAGAGGGATCAGGGTAGCGTTGAGCCAGGGGGTATTTTGCAAGGAAAAGCTCAGTGGGAGGACGGGGAAAGACTCCGGGAACGTATCCGGCTTGATGTAAGACCGTCCTGCTGTCACTAGCAAAGCCAGAATGGATGAGGTCAGTGGCTCTAATACACTCCATCCAGGAAGGGCAGAGGGAAATATGGGTTAGATTGAGCGATCAGTTTATGTGCCATGCTAGGACACCCACCTTTATTGTAGAGATTTATATACAATACTTCAGTTCTCTCTGCACCAATGCACCAGTAGAGGGCGCCACATACCTCCTAAAAGAGGGGCTCTCGCATTTTTCCATAGTGTGCACAACAATGGAAAGCAGGTTGTCTTGTAGGCCCATCTCCTCTCCCAATCCGGGCTGCACAGCCCACCTCCCCTCCCGTGCCCAATCAAGTACCGTCCCTATGGCAACCTCAGCAATTGTTTGCACAGGATAGTAATGGTAGGAAACTCTTAAAGGTCTAATGTCACAGCTACAAGCAAAGAGCAGGGGCCAGCGTGCAGAGATCAGGCGGCCTACCAGAACGGGCTGAACCGGCGACAGGGTAGCAACGCTTGTCCTACAGCCAATGAGATGCAGGCCAATTATCACACTCATTCATGAACATCGTCTGTGAGGGGCTGGAGCACGGAGCACTGCATTTCTAGCCCACCACTCTGCCTGCGAAGCTGAAGGAGCAGCCCTGCTAATGCCCTTCGGCAGGGACTTGTGTGGCAGACAGACCGTGATGAGAAGCAAAGCATGGTTCTCATGCCAAACAACTGACACCACTGGTTGGAGCTGCTCCCATGGGCCCAGCTTGCCGCTTTCCTGGGTCTGGGGGCAGATGCTGTGCTCCAAGTTCTAACCCAACTCTGGGTTCTGCACCAAAAGGCCGCCTGGACCAAACCAATGCATCTTTGTACACCTTTGTCAGTCCTTCCCATTTTCCTAGGAGATAGCTTCCCCAGCACATCAGCCTCAGGCCAGCAGCAGGAGGCCCAGGTCAGAGGCAGCAGAACCCCAGCGGGATCTAAAAGCTCTGGCACACCCGCCCACATAGCACAGAAAGGGAGACTTACGAATCTGACGTCCTCTGCAGTGACGTCGTGGTGAACCCTGTATCCGGTGCCGTGGTCTGGGACCCCTTTGCCCTCAGGTGCGCCCTCCCGGGAGCAGGCGGTGTAGTACCGGACAAAATGGGTGCGCTTCACCAGCAGGTGGAGAATGAAGCACATGAGCTCGATGCCGATGGAGATGAAGAAGAAGATGATGGTGTTCTCCTTCTCGTCCGACAGGAGGAGTTTGGTGAAAATGCGGCTGAGGGAGATGATCACCCCCGCGGTGCCTGAGTGGAAGAGAGCACAAACAGGCCCGTCGGCACAGGGGGTCCAGGGACAGCGCACCGCTTAATGGCCAGGGCTGCAGAGCCATTCTGGAGCGGGTTTGAAACCCACTGACAAGGACAGAACCCAAGATGTGACTCGGTGGCCAGGCCAGGCCTGTCTTGGCCTGGCCCCAGAGAGGGGCACTAACACGTACTGAGTGGGCTGGTGTGGGCTGGATGGAATGAGAACTGACAACTGCTGTGAGCCAGCGGCTACTCTGTGAGCTGAGATGATTTCTGTCAGTAAAGCTGATTCCCTAGTACCTCCCCCAGCAACACAGGAGAACAGGCACCTGGTCCCGGCCTTGTTTGCTTTGGAGTTAGCTGCAAGGGGGGAAAGTGAGTGGAGAAGCCAGTGGCGCAGCACTTTTATCTCCCCGACAAAGGGGTGAGGCACAGGAACTGTCTGTTCTCTCTCCCTGCTGTGAGACGGCTCATCTCCTGCTGGGGGAAATACAGGGGAATCGGCTCACACCACACAGACCTGGCGCTGCCCCGTCAGCTGGCAGTCCCTGGCAATGCTCGTGCTTTGCTCTCTTGGGTGTTAGCAGCAGCCGCACACGTGCAGAGCAAAGGGAAACAGCGTCAGATCAGTGCACGCACCCCTCTGCCAGTCAGTGTATTTCCCCGAGGAACCCAGGAGCTAGCACTAGGCAGAGTTACAATGCCAGAGTTTTCATGCCCCTCCGGGCTAGCGGAAGGGACAGGCCAACCGCACTGAGTGCTGTTCATTACCCCAGCTCATGGGAGGGGGCAGCCTTTCTTTCTGGCCCACATGCCCACTGTAATTACAGTTTTTCTCTGTCTGGCATAGGGCCAGCTGGCCACTGACTCATGAAAACACCAACCAAAGACCAACGAATTTCCCCATCAGTCAAAATATCAGTGCGAGCACCCCAGCTGTCGTCAGTTAGCGCATCTGCCAATGGTAGGTGGTGAGCGTGCCCACCACCTGCTAGTGTGTGCCAAGGCCAACGGGTCTGAGCACAGCAGGATGTCAAATCCATTATCCCGGCCAATGGCTGTTGACTTTACCAGGAAAAGACTAACGCCTCTTCTGGACAGCAGCACTTGAGGAGTGAGCAGCATGCCGGTCGGTTTCCAGCGAGCCATCTCAGGGAGCAGGGCTGGAGACGGAGCGATGGCTGGGCTGGCTGGGCCAACGTACGCTGGCAGTGGGGGATGGAGCGGTCTTCTAAAGAAGACTCAGCTAATAATGAATGAAGGCCTTTGCTGTGTACATTGAAAGATGGGCTGCAATCTAACTGGGATAGAGGTCACCCCTACCCCTGGTCACAGCAGAGACTCTATCCTCTGTTCTACTCGCTGTAAAATGCCCTGCGACAGGAGTGTGCTGTCTGCATGCTGCTCATGCTGTCCTCCCCTCTACAGAGCCAGAGAGACAGCTGTAGAAACACGGCTGTTACATCTACACTGCAACAGTGACTGCAGCACGTGGAGACATACCCGAGCTAGCTACCAACCGCAGTGAAGCACAGGCTTCAGCATGGACTAGTCACCCGAGTAAGTGCCCCGGGTCCCAGAAGGGCTTGTACAGGCCGCACGGAAGTCCAGGCCACCACAGCTTCACAGCTATGAGCACTCGGGTGAGCTAGACTCCAGCTAGCTCAGGTATGTCTACATACGCTGCAATCATACCTCTGTCCTCGGCGCAGCCGTACCCCGTGTATGCGACTTTGCTCTGGGCGTAACGTTACCAGATTGCTAAAGGCGGGCTCCGCCTAGACCTCTTAGCGTGGAGAAGTCACATCTCTCAGCAGCATCTTCCCCAAGAACCTGACATTGTGGTGGATGGACCATTGCAACCCGCCTCTGTCTAGGTCTACCCTGTCAGCTAGGGATGCTTCCAGCTCCCGCGGCCAAACCCGTGTGAGCTTGAGAGCACGGGAAGCAGCAGCACGGCTAGCCACCCCAAGCACAAATCGCCTGAAGCCTGTGGGTATGTACTCAGGGCGGCCAGCCCATGACGCTGATCACGGCTGCCCGTGCTACCGTGGCTAGCACAGTAGCTTGATGAGAGCTAGCATGAGTATGTCTGCGCGAGCTGGGAATCACATCTGAGCTCCAAGCATAGACGTCGTCTCTGTGTCAAGCCGGGGGTCTTTATTACACGTGCCAACTAATGATTACATCCAGGAGAATGGGCCAACTAAGGACGCACTGGCCAATGTGCCAGCCAGCAGCTGGCTAATAAGCCTATTATCTAATCCGAACCGCGAGTCGCTCTGCCAGCTAGCAAGCTTTGAGACTCCAGGGTTAGGAGGATACTCACTCTCGCCAGTCATCACCCCCTGGGTGTACCGCTTGGGCAGCATCCCGGTGTAGCCGTAGAAACTGGATTGCTGCACTTAAAGAGAGAGGCGCGCCGAAAAAAGAGAGGAGAAGAGGTATTATTCCCTACCCACAATTCCGCGGGGATCTAGCCCAAACATATTGCTGGGACTCCTACCGAGGTCCCTGGAGCGGTTGAAGCAGAAGAGGTTGGTGCAGTTCTGATTCAAGACAGCACATGCTTAACTTTAAGCTCATTGTAGCTGGGGAAGGACTCAAGCAGGTCTAAGTGCTTTCAGGAATCAGAACCGCCTTCTTCACTCTTGCCAACGCTATAAGAAGACAATACTGTGGAAAGGCACCAGCTCTCGGTCCTGGATACCTCCGGCCCATGAGAGCCCGAGGTACTAAAAGCCAAACTGTAACAGGGTGTTGGGGCAGGGGTGAGGGTGCAGATTGAATCTGGTTGTTTACAGATGTGAAGCATCACGTGAACGACTTGTGTTCCAGAGTGTTAAACAGCATCATAAAGAAAATCATAAAAAGGCTGTAAACACACCTGGGCTAGCTGGTGCTAATTAGCTGCAGAAGGCTGGGTTTTTACGGGATGAAATATGGTCGGCGAATAAAAATCACCCACTTGGGGATTGCCCTGGGATTAACAAGTCCCGCTGCCCAGCAGCTGCACGGGGCCCTGGAATTTCATTATTCCAAAGCATTCAGTCACAAGGGAAAAGGCTTTGGTTAGCACAGTAACCACTGGACTTGATGGCTTTTGGGTTACTAATATTTTCAAAATGAACCAGAAACTCAGCAGCTGGAACAGCAAGCGGTGATTCAAAAATCATAAATGCGTCTCCGTAGCTCAAAAACGGGCACTTCACAGAGCCCAAAATGGGAGGAGGAACACCCCGCCCCCACACACACACACACTTTTTTCACCAAACAAGAGGTGGGGTTCAAGTCACGTTCTTTTCTAGCTAATCTATCTGCCCGGTACTCGTATGCCCCACCCCATCAGCACTTCCCAACACAACTAACAAACCAGCCAGGCCAGCTGGCAAAGCAAGGAGCAGCGGTGGCTCTGCTGATTTCCCCCAGCTTGGGATCTGGCCCCATTGACTGACCTGGTGATGCGAGGGATGCGTGTTTGATTGATGATGGGCTGGGGGGGGTACGGAGTTTGGTATTTGGGGGTTCCAGGAGAAGGTGAAAGCCCCCCAGGCCATCAGGCAGCACTTTATGCAAATCAGGGTAATGTTATGCAAATACATGCCATTTAATGCAAATCAGATATCTCCTGGTTTTCGCTGGCAGGTGTGCATGCTGCTTCATGTGCTATGGGTTATAGGGTGTTCCCGGGATCTGAGAAGAGCAGATGTAAGTGACTGAACAAATCTACTTCAGAAGAAGAGTGGGGAGATGGTTCAGGGAGCAGGGATCTGGAGTTTCAGGCAGCAGCAGGTGGCCCATCAGGGGCTGCAAACCGCTGAGTTATATGGACCCAACAGAAATGTCAGAAGGTTTGTTCCTGCTTTGCCTTGCAAGGAAATAGGATCTTTGAGGGGAGGGGCAGTTTCCCCCTTCCAGATACTCCCCTCTCTATTTTCAAGCAAGCCTTGTACCCTGAAACAAGACTCTGCTCTCCCCAAAACCACCTGGCCTGTCCTCCTTGTGCCAGTCTTCACATACCTGTGCAGCCGAAGGCCACGACCCCTACGGCTATCAGGTTAATAGCATACGCTTGCCTGTGGGTGAAGAGCTCCAACCAGACATCGCAGATACTGACGAAGAGAAGGGGACCCAGAGCGAACAGGTATCCTGCAGCGAACAAGATGGACACGGGAGTCAGGGGCCAGAGAGCAGAGCTGGCAGCCAGCCTTTGGACTGGCTCCAGACAGCGATGTGATGAGTTCAGCAGCCTGCGGAATCCCAGTGAAAACCCAATGGGCCAAGCGCCAGAGCCACTGGAACAGCCTGGAGGTAGAGTGCGTCCCTGCACTGAGGCGGAGATGGAGTTACAGAGCAGATGAACAAGGGGCCAGAGAAACCCCCCGTTTCTTTCCATCTACACCAAGATGGCTTTAGTTATTTAACTGCTTATGGGGCAGAATGGAAGCCTAGGCATCGACATGTGGGTTCCTCATGACGTTTGAGTTTCTAGGCAGCCAGATGTTTCGGCGTCCAAATGTCTGCCTGATCGTATTTCTGGTGTCCAGCTAATGGTGTGTCTGAAAGTTTGGGTGTTTAATTTAATATATGGAGATATCCTATCTCCTAGATATCTCCTAGAACTGGAAGGGACCCTGAAAGGTCATCAAGTCCAGCCCCCTGCCTTCACTAGCAGGACCAAGTACTGATTTTTGCCCCAGATCCCTAAGTGGCCCCCTCAAGGATTGAACTCACAACCCTGGGTTTAGCAGGCCAATGCTCAAACCACTGAGCTATCCCTCCCCTCCAGTTTACACTGGATGCTGGGCTAAATCTAAGTGACTGGGTGGCCTGAGGCTTGGGTGAATGGAATATGCTTACACTGCTTTGCACATGACCAGCCCGGATCTCCCAACCCCCTTCCCCCTGGAAACTGAACAGAAGATATCTGCACACACAACACGCATCTCGTCCTCGCTGCTGGGAGATCAGGCGGGGAGCAGAAGTGACACTTCGGTACTCTGAAGGGGCCATGGACGGGCAATGATATCTCAGTGCTTGCAGCCTGTTCCCAGGTCAGTTGGTGGAGACGCGCTGGAGACGGGAGTAGAGTCCACCCTTCTGGCAAACGCTAGCCTGACCGCTTGCACCGATGGGATGGGACAATAGCCAAGGAAATATGGTAGCCCCAGAATGTGGGGGTAGGCTTGGGTCCTGTCCGGATCCCTGGGGCAGGGGAAGGAATTGGAGAGACCTACCCACAGAGATCCTGGTGTGCAAACTCAGCAGCTCCACCAGGGCGTTGTTCAAGATGACGGCTACCAAGGCTACCAGGATGTAGGTGAGGCTCATATCAAACACAATGGAGGTCCCTGCAGAGCAACAGAAGAGGTGAGGGCAGTCAGCAACGCTCCAAGAGCAGCGTTGGACTAAGTGCGTTGAGTTCAGTGGGGAGAGCAGGGTGCTGTCAAGATACTGCTGACCACAGGTCTGTGTTGGCACCTTGGTGAACAGAATTTGGGGTCTGGTGGCTGTTCTGTATTTCCCCCAGCCCACCTGTCTGGTTTATCCGAGGGCTGAACCGGGCTCAGTGTTTATAGTGCTATTGTTTGGGTAACTCAGCTGCGGGCTCAAAAGAACAATTTCAGAGTTGCCTTGTCTAGGGATATCCAGGAACAGGAAACATTTTCCAGGTTGTGGAAATAGGCAGCCAGGGCTGTCTGAACTAGAAGGCTGTGGAATGATAGAAAGTGGGGTGAGGGTCTGGGGAGATACCCCATGGGCAACACAGGAGACACCCGTGGGGCAGCTGCACATTTTTTATAGCTCCACTTTGCACTCAGGATACAAACACTCCTGGGTGATACTGCTGTCATTAATTGGGCTACATTTGTGAGTTCAGGCTGGTAGACATCCAGCACCTGTAAATATTTGCATCCAGAAGAACTGGGAGACCAGGACAAGTCCTATTTCAAAACCAGACCCCCACCAAATACACAAACACTCACTTCGGCAGCCTCTGTCTTTTCAACATCCTAGCACCAGCTTCTAGGATCTCCTGTCACTAAATTTGACTGTGTTTGCTATTGGCATTTAACATCAGGAATCCGGACTGCTGGCTTTCAAAGGTTAAATGTGAATTGGAAATCAGCGGCTTGTCCGGGCTGATTCCCCTCTGCCTGTCAGACTAGCATTCTCCTGCTAATGAGGACTCTGACGTGACAGCTTCCATGTCATGTCCTGGCTCAGGGTGAATGAAATCCAGGGAGCAGAGCCTGGGACATGCCAAACCACCATCGCCGGGAAGGACCCACCTGGATATTTGTGATGCAAATAGTCCACATCTGTGATAAAGCTGTTGTACGGCAGGAGAAATCCAACCCCTGCTAGCAGCATAGCAAAGTAAATCCCATGGTATCGATCCTGGGGTTCGGGGTCTTCCGAGGCTACACGCCAAAATATGACAGAACAGGTGACAGTTATGCTGATGGGCCTCTTAGAACCCAACACAGAGTCCTACAGATAGGCTGGGAAATAGATTGAGAGGCAACAGATTTATTGTTCACTGAGATGAGGTACAGAACATTCCCAAATGACAGGCTCTGTCTGGGTCTTGCAGCTTTAGTAAAGAATCCCCGTTCTATTCATTCCAACTCTCTTCTCTCCCATGAGACGCTGCAGTGCCATTATTCTACTCGATCACCCACACAGGAATAACCAGACTAGACCAGTGGTCCAGCTCGCCTGGGACCCTGTCTCTAACAATGGCCAGCATTAGCTGCTTCAGCGGAAGGGGCACGAAACCCACATATCGGACATCTGTGTAGTACCAGCCAACGGGGGAAGTATCTTCCTAAAGACACTCGTACGTATGGATCTGTGTACACCTGCCTCTGTTCACCTACCTCTAGTTCCCAGCCTTCCATACCGGGAGCAAAGAGGGAGGTTTTTCTATCACAGAATTAAATGGTCCTTGTACTAGGAGAAGTTATTTATCTCCACAGCCAGACATATTTTCACAGAATCACTGACCCCAGCCCAGCCACACTTCTGCACGTGAACCCTCCCCCCCCGCAGAAAGAGCAAAGCAGAGACACCTGCTTGTTATCTCAGGTGGGCTCACAAGGGAACATCTGGGGGCCCCAAAAGAGCAACAGCTGTATTAAATCTCACCCTTTTCCAAAGGGCCAGCTAATGGCCCAGGGGTGAGTGCTCCACAAGGCCACGTGGGAAAGCAACTCCCAAGCCCTAACCCCTCATTACAGGGTCGGAGAGCTCCAAGACGGATTAAAGAGCAGGGTCAGCCTCTTTAGAACAAACTGTAAATGGCGGGATTCATGTTTGATAGCTGTCTTGCAGGGTTCCCATAATGTGCCCAACACCAGGCTCACCTATGGCGCTCCACAAATAAACACCAGCCTGGCTAAACTGCACCCTGTGAATAGAGGCATTTCAACAGTGACTCTGGCTGTATAAGAATACCAGGCCTTTGATGTGCAATGGACGGCAGTAATCTGGTATGAAGCAGATGTACGTACAGGGAGTGATTGGCAGAGGTTCAAACCTAGGGCCAGAGCTGCAGCTGGTGCAAATGCAACTAGCCCCAGTGGAGGTAAGGTAAGGGTCTGTCCTACAGCTGGCACCTGCTCAAGTGACTCAGCCTGTGAGATGTTGGGAGTAAACTCTCGAATAAGATCATCTTGGCCAGGGGAGCGACTGCTTGTTAATTGCTTTCCTGTCATCTGGGAACACACCGCAGTTATGACATGTCGGAGTCTGCACTGTTCAAATACCGGGGGCTCTGCACAGGGAAGTGGTAATGTGTGTGCCTTGCAAATAGCACAGGCCCCCAGGCTCCCCACTGCCCCGGCATCAGACGGAGAGGAACGAAACCACGGCAGGAGCCACAGAGAGGCCTGGCAGTGAAGGGGGAGTGGTTAAGAGCCGAGGGAGGAGCCACGATACATCGCACGCTTCCTCATCCCAGCCCCAAGAATGGCCTTTCTTACCCAACCTGCTGGGAGGTCAAAGCCTGCACGCCTCCTCCGAGGGGAGGGCTCAGCAGGAGGGTGGCCAGCCAATAGCCACGCAGTTGCTGGCCCAGTCATGCTCCCCTGGCTAGTGAGCAGAGAAGCGTCCTGCGTGCTGCCTCGGACCCACGCAGCTGGGGAATTCCCTGCTTGTTTTGGTGGGTCCTGGCTGCAGCACCCCCATGCCAGTCCTGGGGATGTGGGAGGGTTACAAAGCCACAAAGCTTTGGGATTAGCTTGTTCTCCCCACAGGCTGTTTGGACACAGGAGAAGTCTGGGCCATGGCGATGGCTCAGGGGCTGCCTGGACAGCAGGCTCCACTCACAGTAGTTATGCTTAAGGACTGGGCCAAATGGCTCCTGTACAATAAGAACCAGCCCCAGACGCTGGCCAAGATTTGAACCGAACCTTCTGGAGGCCTGGGAAAAGTTCCCCGAACGTACCGTTGTTATTATGTCCACCCTGTCCTGTGGTCTCTGTGCTTCCGGGTCTCATTTGGGCCTGAAGCATTACCACAATGAGGTAATGGCTGCTCAAGGGGCACGTCTGGCCTGGCCAGAAGACCTTGCAAGAAAGCCCACCCCTGTGAGATCTCCCAACCCAAGGAGCCAGGATAATCTGAACACCTGGCCAAAGTCTGGGGGAGGCAAAGCAGGATTTGCCCATCGCTCTGTGATACGTGGAACATTCTGCTGGTTGGTGCAGCACTGGCTACGACAACGCTCTCTCTCCTCACTCCTCTCCCTGCATCCAGGGAGCCACCTCAGCAGTCTGTCACTGCCGTCGCTAGGTGCCCCGTTCAGCCCTTCCTCCACGCTCCCTCCTTGCGAGCCAGGAGAGATGCGAAGCCCAGCCACCAAGCCCTACCTGGCTCCATGAAGGTGAGGACTCCCTTGGCCTGATTCCCTTTCGCCTGCAGCTCCTCCTCCTCCAGCTGGTAGCTGTCGAAGCTGAAGCTCATCACCACGTTCCCCTCGGGGGTCACCACGGGGCTGATGTCCTTGAAGTGATCTCCTCTGACGGAGCCCATTGTGGCTGACCTAAAGCAAGAGAGGACACCATCAGCTCAGCCCCAGCGTGGTCCTCAGGGGATACCCCCCGGGGGCTTATTCCCAACGGGGCCAAGAGCTCAGCTAACGTAATACGTAGTAGGGAAAACATTAAACGCTCCATGCAAAATAGCATAGTAGCTAGTGAGGGAAAAGAGCTGTGAGATCATCTGGCCCTTCCCCCTGCCAAAGCCAGAATGACCACAGCATCTCAAGTGCTTTGCCCTGTCTAGTTTTAACTGCCCCAAGCGACGGGGCTCCCACTGGCCTCAGTCCTGGAAGGCTTTAGTGTAATTCACCTCACTGGCAGGACGGCTCTCCTGATAATCAGCCATTTCCTTTGCTCAGTCTCATCCTGTTTCTCCTCGTTACACCCCCAGGGCTTCTGCATCATTTCTCACAGCAGCTCACACTAGCTGAACGTTTGGGACTGGAGGGATGTGCATAGTTTCATTTTCAGCCCAGACTCAGAGCATTGCTCTTAGCAGCTGGCACTGGAGAGAAACAGTATTCTTAGTGGACCAAATCCTGAGGGCCTTATTGAAGCACAAGCCCACCGAAGCTAATGGGCCCAATCCACTGCAGTCCATGGGAGCTGCAGGTGCTCGGCAACTCAGAGGCAAAGGCGGCTCTGTAAGGAGTGCAGGCTGGAGACTGCAGACTGGTCTCAGGTTATTTTGTTGCAGGGCCACAAGGAAATCCAATTGCTCCTTCGCTCCCACTTGCTCCTTCGTCCACTGCCTCCAGAGACCTAGCTCAGGGATGGCTATTTCGGCAGAGACCTTTAGGCCTGCCGTCATATAGCCTTGCATTCTTTGCACAGGTGCGTTCCTTCCACAGAAACTCCTTAAAGGGCCCTGCATTACTGTATGCAATTCAGCACCTCGTGTGGTGCACCGAAGCGAGCCCCTTTTGGCTGACCCCTTCCTCCGGCAGCTCAGGGTTCTGCCCAGGCTGCAGAACAGATCTTTGCTCCCAGGTCCAGTCACTGTCTCGTCCATCTCAGTAGCTTCTACTGCACTGGCACCAAATGCAAGAGCAGAGACAGCAGCTTTGAGCTGGGCTATCTAGAGAGCTTATCTCAAGCTTTGAGGGGTGCTGTTAAGGTTTATCGCCGCTGCAAATCCCTCACTGAAAGCCTCCAAACCCGATAAGCCGGCAGGACGGGGCTGCTGCCACTCATGGGGTTTTCACACTGACAGCCAGGGGGTTTCCTGCCTTGGGTGTCAGGGTGACAGCAACGGCTCTCAGGGGTTTGCTTTGGTGCTGGGGCTTTAATGTCCCCACGTTCCTGCTCTGCAGCAGCCTGTCACGTGCTTCAGTTTCAATAAATAAACCCAAGGAGGTTTTTTTTTAATCCTCCGTTTTGCCAGGAACCACAATATGAAAAAGCCCAAGTCAGGGGCCAGAACAGACCAACCAGGGCAGCCTTGGCTCCAGACCAGGCAGTCAGCTGGGTTAAAGAGGACTTGGGACTGGCCACGAGACGGCATCGCTGGCTGATTAACGACCAAGAGCGAAGTGCCATGGGAGAGGCAATGCTGTCTGTGGTTAGAGCAGTGGGCAGGGTTCTATTCCTGGCGTGGATGCTGACTCATTGTATGCCCTTGGGAGAGTTGTTTAACCTCTGCGCCTCAGTTTACCTTTCTGTAATATGAAGATAATACCTTCCTCAAAGGCTTTAGAAAATGTTTGTAAAGGCATTTGAGAGCCTCATCTGAAGGCAAAGGGCAAACTATTGTAACAAACTGGTGGCCCTCCTACAACTTTGTGCATGACTCTATGCTGTCCGTGTGATCAAGGAGCACTTCAACACGGGGAGAGAACCCAACACCTCCTGGTCTGAAAGCAGAGGCCCTACCCCTTGAGCTGAAGGAGACTCTCTGTTAGCAGCATAAAAGAGTTCTGCTAAGAGTTGGAGATTCCCATTCCCTCCAGTAGAGGGCGGTGTAGATACATAACCTTCCCAGCAGGGCAGGTTGGAAGGCTGGTGTGATGTTTACTGTTCGTGCCCCAGGGCGGCATGATGTGAAACATCAGCTGCTTCACACTGTCTGAGAGCTCGGTAATCAATGGCTCCTGGACACTCAGGGACATCTCCCCCTTATCCTGGCCCTGGCGGGTGCTCTGGATTTCTGCAGCAGGCCTGGGAGAGAATCTGGGCTTCTCAGTAGGGGATCCCCAAGCGAACGGCTTTGCAGGGAGCCCCAGATTTGCTTGAACTGGCCCTAGCTCCACCATTCCCAGGGCTGTAATTTCCAACCCAAATCGGGGGCTCCAAACCCCAAACCTGTGAGCCCAGCAGAGAGCAGCAGGAACCGCTTTAACCGATCCTTGCTGTCATGAGGGGACACTTACAAAGAACCCCGTTAAACTTAACTGGGGCTGTGTTGCAGGGACCTAGCTCTGCCTCTAGGTGGTGCTCTAGGCCATCTCAGGCAGGAACATGCCTCCCAAAGTTGGGAGTCTTTTGGATTTGATTTGTTTTCTGTTGTGGTGAGCACCATGTGTCTGGCTACCACAATGAACGATGGCTCTGAAGAGGGGAAAAATCTACCTGCATATCTGGAATCCCAACAGGAACACAGTGATTCCATTAGGGGTCTGATCAATTAAGTCTCCGACCCGACCCCAAGAAGCCTTGCAGGGAAGCTAGAGTTTGCAAAACTCCAAGAGGCTCTTGTGGAATCAGACAGCGCCAGCTGATACCTTGAATATTTGTTCTTAATGCAGGAACAGTTCATGTATATAGGTCCTCAGTGCACAGTTCTTTGCATGGTCAAAATCCTTTTAGATGATCCCCAGTTTCACTTCATTCCAAACACCATCAGAGGGTAGATCCTTATTTAAATACTCACCAGCAACCACACATCACTGAAC